CACATACACAGACAAACAAACACACACACAGACACACACACACACACTGATACACACACACACGCGCACACACACACACACACACACAGACACATACACAGTTAATCATACGCACACAGAAACACACACACACACACAGACACACGTACACACACACACAGACACACACAGTCACACACATACAGACACACACTCACACACAGACACACACACACAAACACACACAGACACAGACTCACACAGATAAAGCTGCTCCAAAGGTGCCATCAGGCTTGAGGAAAACATTTCCCACATCCTTGTTAAACAAGACAAGAAGATAAGAGCCTGAGAATGTCGTTTTAACTGTAACCTCCCACAGATTTACACCCCGATTTAAAATTTATGACTATGGATTCGTACGTTCGTACAAAAGGGACACAAATGTGAAGCGAAAGTGGAACGTTTGAAATGCGGTTATCTCGTCCTGTTGAAAAAAACATGAGACTTTGACAATATCAACAATATCTCCGCAGATTCACACACACACACAGACACACACACACACACACACTCACACACGAGTGTGTGTGTGAAGGAACTGATTGAATGACAAAAGCTTTTAGTCTTATACACACATATATTGAGTCTTTTTTTCAATATCCTTATGGAAAACGAATACACTCCAAACCTAATAGTCTCCTGGGGAGTCAAATGATAAAAAACTATTTTATCCAAGACAATAAATAAGGTAAAAATGGCATATCCGAACCCCCCAGCATTAATGGGTCAGGCTGGAACATGGCCGACATCTTGGATGAAAGGGAAGCTCTTCCCACATGACCAATATTCGAATATGTCATTTTCCAGGATGACTCGGTAGATTGGACGATTTGTTAGGAAGCAGATGCCAAAACTAAACTGTGAAAACAAAGACTACCAGCACAAAGTATCAACGTTCAACTACAATGGTTCGTTTCCGGTATCATTGTAGGTTTCGTTGGACAAAAGCGTCTGTAAATGTGTGAATGCAACTGAAAATGTCCCAGAAACTCTGAGGGGGATACTACAGGGAGCAAATGAGGAAGTGTTAGCAGCTGTGGCTGATTCAAGTCGGCCATTTTGATTAGGTCACCAATAGGAAGACCAGGCAAGAAAATCCTAATTGCTTCATGGCAATGTAGACATTAATTTAAAAATAGTGAAATTAATCTTGCAAACACTGAATTAAACTCTATCCATAATATTATGTTAAAATAGTGGATGTTAAATAGGTTTGTACAATAAGTCCAAACAAGTTTAACCAAAAAATATTTATTTCTAACAATTATGAATGATGGAGGGTTAGGGTTAGGGTTAGGGTTAGGGTTAGTGTCAGGGTTAGGGTTAGGGTTAGGGTTAGGACATCGTTTTTCTTCCGATTTCGTATAGACGGTGAAGTTTCGTTTCCACCTCACAAAGCTGCTGGTCACATGACCTAATCAAAATGGCCGACATGGATGTGGGAGGAGTCGGATATCCAACCGAGGCTCCTACAGGGTGCAGACAGAGGGTACTCGGCTAAGAACCAACACAAAGCAACCGGTTGGAAATGAGACCCTAACCCTAACTCTAAACTTAAACCCTAACCCATACCCTAACCCTAACTCTAACCCTAACCCTGACCCTAACCCCTAACCCTAACCCAAAACCTCAAAGACAAGACAAATCAGAGCAAAAGAATCCACGAGTGTAACCAAAAACCATCTAGATGCTTCCATAACGAAACCTCATCGAAACCACAGGATCACATCAGGAAACCTGAGAATATACAGTGGGGGAAATAAGTATTTGACCCCTTGCTGATTTTGCAGGTTTGCCCACTTACAAAGAATGCAACGATCTATAACTTTAATCATATGTACATTCTAACAGTGAAAGACAGAATCCCAAAGAAAATTCCAGAAAATCACATCATATGAATTTATAAAAATTGATAACCATCTGATGAGGAAAAATAAGCATTCTTTGTAAGTGGGCAAACCTGCAAAATCAGCAAGGGGTCAAATACTTATTTCCCCCACTGTAGATGGCCCCCACTGTCTTTCTTTAGCCACAATTCTTCCTAAAGATGCTAGCAGTGCTAATTGAAGTGATGAATCCACCTCTTAGTCTGGTCTGAGCTCGGTGGATGACATTTTGGGAGATGAAGACATCTACGAATATGGATTCCCGAAAGGGAGTGAGAGGAAAATCCCCCCAAAACTCCCCGGTTCAGGACAAAAAGACAGGTGTTGAACAGATGTTCCATAAACACCAGAGTCTTGCTTTTCAGGGTTTCAGGCTAAGTGCAATTAAACAAGGCGCTGTAATTAAGCCATCCGTCTCAGTTACATTAGTGAATAATGGCAGAGGAAGACGGGCTGGGAGCAGATTTTCGTTGCCTTTCGAGGCTCAACTCATATCTAACTTTATTTATAAAGCACATTTAAAACAACCGGGTTTGACCAAACAATTACAGGAAATAAGGTGAAAACTAAAAAGTTAAAATACATAAACATGATGCAATAGAATAGAATGAAAATAAAATAGAATAAAACAAGCTAAAATCTAAATAAAAATGTGTTACCCTGACCCTAACCCTAAACCTAAACCTGACCCTAACCCTAACCCAAACCCTAAACCTAACATTACCCTGACCCTAACCCTGACCCTAAACCTGACCCTAATCCTGAACCTAAACCTGACCCTAAACCTAAACCTAAACCTGACCCTAACCCTTACCCTGACCCTAAACCTAAACCTAGCCCTAACCCTAACCCTAACCCTAAACCTAACCCTAACCCTGACCCTAACCCTCCACCCTTCATAAATGTGAAAAATAAATATTTTTTGGTTAAACTTGTTTGGACTTATTTTACAAACCTATTTAACATACACTATTTTAATGATCATAAACAACGCAAATGAATAAATAAATAAATAAATCAGAGAGGGGAGGGGGTATTGATAATAAGTATCGTATCCGGATACAACGTTTTAGTATCGATACTTTTTGGAGTATCGATACTTTTGACGACCCTAGAAGCTTTTAGGGAAAAAATGAAAAAATAAAAAAGATGGCTAATTACAGAAGTCCGTTCTTAAATCAAACACCTGGACCTTTTTTTCTCGGCTCCACTCTGAAACAGGACTCTCCACTTTTGGAGATGTTTCTATGGCGAGAGATGGTTGCCATAGAAACCCGTTTTAGAAATCAATCAGTGAACAGATCCTCTTAAAAAAGCTTTAAATGCACGCAGCCTCGTGTTTGAAGCTCTGAAGGCCAATCAGACTCAGGCTCCACAAAGAAGAACCCAAAAACAAGAACCGAAAATCCAGCAAACATCACAAACGGTCGTAGAGATTCCACCAATTCAATTAAATTCAATTTTATTTATATAGCGCCACATCACTACAACAGTTATCTCACAGCTTTCCAAACAGAGCAGGTCAGACCCTACTCTGAAGTTAACTACGGAAACCCAACAATTCCCACCATAAGCAAGCACTAGGCGACACAGGCAAGGAAAAACTTCCTTTTAACAGGCAGAAACCTCGAGCAGAACCATGGCTCAGGGTGGGGGGTGAGAGAGAGAGAGAGAGAGAGAGAGAGAGGGCGAGAGAAGCACAGAGGGAGCAGAGAGAGGTAGCCAACCAATGGAGGATGCTCAGAGTTTTTCTGGCCCCAACATCCTTCAGGGACCTGGAAACATCTGGAAACATCTGGAGTTGGACCATCAGGACCTACAAAAGAATCAGAGGCTTCTGATTTTTTTTTTCATCTCCAAAAATCCCATCTCTGAGGAGTTAGATCCACTGATACCCGAGAGCCTTCCTCCTTTTCCCATTTAACCCTGTAATGCCAAATGTTTCATATTTGATTCATACGGTTTCTGAAATGTTTTGCGTCTGACACCTTTTGCATAATTTAATGGTAAAAACTTTGCTCAAAATCCTATTGTACACAATCAGATACACCTGATAACAGGGGGCAGAAGACTACACAAAAATAATCTTGACTTATCGCATAGTAATAAATTATTAATATCAAAAATGTATTTCCGATTTTTCTTTTTACATATTTTGTTAAAAGACAAAATAAAGACTTCAAACCAAAAAAAAATGAATTTTCTGTTTTGTTTTCTTGGATCAGGCTTTAAAGGGTTAGGAGCCCCTGATTTGGAGGAGCTGACTTAAAAACACACATTCGTGAAGCTCTTTAGGCCTTTGGATGTCCAAAACCAGGCAAACTAGGTTAAAAATGACTTGATATGCTTCCTATTTGAGGCTCATGCAAAGATCTCTCCCTCCCCAAGCTGTAAAACCCTCCTTATATCTCTTTTTGAGACAGTAACTCTGATCCCTGTTCTTTTAAAACTCGTCTACGGTCCAATCAGAGATTGAGTTTCTCCAGATGGGAGCCGTCCGTTATTATGCCGGTAATCAGAGGCTTTTTTTTATCACGTCGAACTCGCTGAATGCAAAGTGATTTTTAAGTCGTGTTGATTGGGATGGCGTCTACTTATCGTCTTATTATCGTCTTATTTTAGTCTTCTTGTTGTCTTCTTATTGTCCGCCGTTCTGTGATGATAGCCGGTTTGTACAAGTCCGTTTGGCTGCAGGAAGCCAAGGATGGATATCCAACTCCCCCACATCCAAGTCGGCCATTTTGATTAGGTCACCAATAGGAAGATCCCAGGCAAGAAAATCCTAATTGCTTCATGGCAATATAGA